ATTTGACCGGGTCCCATGGATAAATAAATTACAACTCAATCGAATAAATAAATAATTACAATAATTATTTCCTTCCGTTACATCAACGGGTCTTCGATTCTTGAGTTCTTTATTCTTCGGCTTCATTCTTTGTCTTCGGGTCGGATTTCATCTTCCTTGGGGTCCGGAACATTTTCGGGTCTGTCGGCACGCATTACGAGGGTTTCGGAAACCCTCGGGTCCATTCGGGTCCAATTCCCGAATCTGGGCTGCCAACCGTGCACCAGGGTACGCACGTGATGGCCGCGCGCCCACGCGGTCTGACCGCGTGCCCGGTCAGACTGTCTGTGCGCTAGGGTGCGCGCTGGGGCATGCTCTGGTCGCGCGCTGCAGCGTGCTCAGCCCCACACTGGGGCACGCTTGGGCATGCGCTAGGGCGCGCTGGGGCGCACAGGCCGCGCGCTGGGGCACGCCCTTTGGGCGATTTTTGGAAATTTTCTGGGCAGTTTCTGGGCATCTTCAAAAGCTTCAAACTTGATCTTCAAGGACTCCTTTTGATTCAAAATCAAAACCCTAATTATACCCAAAACCTAGAATTACAATAACTCTAATCCCGAATTAAATTACAAATAATTTCATCAATGAATAAATATAACCGATCCATGGAACCATATAATTAACGACCAAATCCACCATCCATACATTTATCAACATGAATCAAAATAAACATCCATAAATGCAAGTGCCTACCCATCACATACATACATAATTAAATATCACATATTTAATATATCAATTTTGATTATCAAATAATCGAAGCATAAATTAATATTGTCTATAGACCGCTCAGATACTAATTATTGGTAACCGAATGGAATTTAGATACGGAAGCATGGCGGGGAGGCGGATCGTGTATAACAAAAATTTCATAAAACTTTTGAGATACTCTATAGATTATATTAATTTATGCACGAATAAATTAATCAAATTAATTTATATGTCAAGAACTCAATTAGTAAAAATACCTAGAGGCCGACTCGGATGATAACTTGAGTTCTTTGACCACGAACAGTCCTTGCTCTAATATTTGTATTTAGAAAACCAAAGTCTTCCACGTCAATTCGACGTGTGTGTGGATACACGTGAGACAAAACATGTTTGAATAAACACTTAAATTTTCCACAAACACCAACGCATACACGATGTGGAATTTTTTAGGAGAAAAAATTTTCCTTTTCTTTTTCTTTTGAGAAATTCAGCCACTCTCACTATTAGGGCAGAAAAAAATGTTTCAAAAATTGTGTCCACAATTTTCTATCATTCTCATATTTAAAGAGTAGAAGTCAAACTTCAAAAAAGAATCAAATCTCTATCTCCTATTTGAATTTTTTTTGAACAAAAAATCTCCTACACCTTATCCCTTAAGTGGCCGGCCACCCTAGGGTTTCCATCCCTTATGTGTGGCACCAATACTGGATGGGGAAGGAAGAGAAAATCATCCTTTATCCTGCAGTCCAATTTTAATTCAAATTCAAATTTGAATTTACGTCAAACTTAAATTAATTCAAATTCTAAATTGAACAACTTATCAAATAAGTTTAAAAGGATAAATTTAAATTATGTTCACAATTCAAATTTAAATTTAAATAATCACATTATTTAAATAATAATTAATTCTCAATTAATTATTTTTTGAGTATTTAATTTTAGAATTCCATAATTCTAAAATTCCCATTTTGTCATTTGTGTCTGGTAGAATTACAAGGACGACACGGGGACTTATGGACCTATAATCCCGAGCTCTAATAAAATTAATAATTAATTAAACACTTTAATTAATTAATCAATTCTATTAATTCCAATAGTTACTCCACTATAAACTTGGAATTGAACTCTCGAAATTAAAGACATTAATTACTTCTAAACTGTGAAGTGTCCATTTGATATAGTCATTGCATATAAATCAATCCTCCATAAATAATTCATAATTAGCGTCAGGTTGAATCCGTTAACCTCTCTAATTATATCTTCATCCTTCAGTACCATTGATTCTCTAATGGATAGTGATTCATTAAATACATTCATGAACCAGAGCGCTCTTACTAATCCAAGTACCGAATCAACACTCAAGAGAATTATTTATCTACTTCTTTCTGAAGAAGGAATGGATTCCATCTCATATAATAACATTCCCGGCTACCTATTTCATCATGTCTCCAAAATACAAGGAATAGGATTCAGGGTCTCAGAATCCGTGCCGAGTAATCGAAAGACATAAATCCATAACTAGGAGTTTGTTAAGAACTCAGGATTAAGATCATTCTATATATGACCATCGGTAGACTCAATTAGAATTTCTATGCTTAACGGAAATTATTAAAAATTCATATTGTGTCTGTGTCCCAGTTCCACAAAATCTCATTATGCGAAATACACTCATTCAATATCTCACCATATTAACAGTGCGGATAGCACCGTTCCATTCTAAATGGGAATGACATGTATTAATAATATTTTAATTAAAGATTCTAAACTTTAATTAAATTCATTATGAACAATGTTTTTTTATTATTATCCTTAAACACTATCCTCTCGTATATAACACTTATATAGTGTGTTTAAGGTTACATAAATAATCACAGAATTTTCATTTGATATTCATAAAATATTCATAAATATATGCACAAAAAATGATGAATAAACTCTTTTATTAATTAAATAATAAATATCCTATTACATCTTATGCTTCTAGGACACTATTTCGAACAATCTACTGGGGAGCAAATCCTTGACTTCTTCCGGAGGAAACGTCCGGATGTCGACCTATCCTTCCTCAATGAGTCTAATAGCGAGGACGTGGAGGTGGTCGATTTGGACCAGGAAGCTGGGGGTGCTGGGCAGGAACCAGGAGGCAACGACGAACAGGCACTGGGAGACACCGACGAGCAGGCACCGGGAGATGGTGGTGAGCAGGCACCGGGGGATGGTGGCGAGTAGGCGCCGGGAGACACCATCGAGCAGGCACCGGGAGACGCCGGCAAGCAGGCACTAGGGGATGGTGGCGAGCAGGCACCGGGGGATGGTGGCGAGCAGTGAGGGGTTTCCTCTACTTTTGTTGCTTCTATTTCTTACTTTTTTTTTTGAAAAGCCGTGAGGCCAAGACTATATTCGTTGGTTTGTAACGACCATAAGGTCGAGACCTATATTATTCTTATTTCTTTTTATACACGCTGATGCTTGCTTATTCTATGTATTTATACATGCTCATGCTTGCTTATTCTGTGTATGAATACTGTAGATTAGTTATTTTGTGAAGATTTTGTGAAGAATTTTGGTTAAGTATGGTTGAGTCAGAGCTCGCCACCTTAACAGGGTTTTTTTTTTCTTTTTTTTTGGGGCCCTATTGTCGGCCTTGTTGCCTTATTATCCCCTCGTAAAAAAAAATCCTTGGGCTTATTTTTGACGCACCGCAGTCGACGTATCGACGTATCGTGGTCGACGTATTGACAATTGTTTAGGTCGATGTATCGACAATTTTTAGTCGATGTATCAACATTTTTAGTTGGTTGACGTATCGACGTATCGTGGTCGACGTATCGACATTTGTTTAGGTCGACGTATCAACCATTTTTAGCCGACATATCAACAATTGTTTAGGTCGACGTATCGACAATTTTTAGCTGAAGTATCAAAAATTATTTAGGTCGACGTATCGATAATTTTTCACCGGCATATCGACATTTTGTTGGTCGATGTATCGACGTAGCTAGTAGATGGTTGAGCCCATATAACAAAGTCGGTCGTGATGCAAAACAGAGTTGACTAAGTAGACAATGCAATTTGCTTTTTATTTGTGGAAATTACTGTTGGGAATGGTGTCCAAGAAGCATAAGATGTATTAGGATATTTATTATTTATTTAATAAAATAGTTTATTCATCATTTGGTGTTTGTGGAAATTCGAGTGTTTATGGAAATTTGAGTGTTTATTGTAACCCGTTTTGTCTCATGTGTGCCCACACACACATCTTCATGGATTCTAGGAATTGACGTGGAAGACATTCGTTTTCTAAACACAAAGTTTTGGAGCAAGGATTGTTTGAGGTCAAAGAACTCAAGTTATCAATCGAGTCGGCCTCTAGGTATTTTTCCTAATTGAGTTCTTAATAATGAGATTAATTTATTCGTGCATAAATTAATATAATCTATAGAGTATCTCAGAGGTTTTATGAAATTTTTGTTATACACAATCCGCCTCCCCCCACGCTTCCGCATTTGAATTCGATTCGGAGACCAATAATTACAAGTCGACCTTTCAACTTGTGAAGAGGGAAAACGAAAGAGAAAACATGTAAAACGTACAAACTTTAACCTTTTCGATCGACATTCCTCACAATTATTGGTAGTAGACCTTTAGCTGGTCTGCATTCTAAGTGTGCTTGAGGTCTCGACCTTCAGCTGGTCTGCATTCTAAGTGTGCTTGAGGTCTCGACCATCAAGCTCTGCAAGTCGATACGACCTGTTGGCCATGACCTCTTTTATTCTGTAGGGTCCTTCCCAAGTTGGGCCAAAGGCACCAGAGTTCTTAGGCTTGGTATTTGGGGTTACCACCCGTAGGACCAGGTCTCCAACCCCGAAGCACCTTTGTCTGACCTTTTGTTGTAGTACCTAGCAGTTTTGGCTTGGTACGGGCAAGCCTTAGCTGTGCATTTGTGCGTCTTTCTTTTAGAAGGTCGAGCTCCAAGCCTATTAGCGTGGTGTTCCTCTCCTCTTAATACCGAGCTACTCGGCTGGTCAGAATGGATACCTCAACTGGAAGGACTGCCTCAGCCCCATAGGCCATCGAGAAGGGAGTTTCCCTTGTGGTAGTCCTACTTGTTGTCCGGTAGGCCCACAGAACTTTCAGCAACTCATCTACCTACTTTCCTTTATAGCTGTTGAGGCATCGCTTAAGCATGATCTTTATGGTTTTATTAACGGTCTCGACCTGCCCGTTGGACTATGGGTATATAACAGAGGAAAAATTCTTATGAATTCCCAATAGCTCACAAAACTGGTTGGTGTTGTCATTGTTGAATTGTCTCCCGTTATCAGACACGAGAGAGTGTGGTACACCAAACCTGCAAACTATGTTGTTCCATATGAAGTTGGTACATTTTTCCTCTGAGATCGTCGTCAGTGGCTCGGCTTCCACCCACTTGGTAAAGTAGTCGATGGCCACAATGGCGAACTTGTATCCCCCAAGGGTTTTGTGTAGTGGACCAATAAGGTCAATCCCCCATTTAGCAAAAGGCCAGGGAGAGACTATCGATGTTAAGTCCTCTGAATGCAGTCGAGGGGTAGGGGTGTACCTTTGGCAACTTTCGCACCTCTTCGCATACTCAGCTGCATCCTTTTTGAGATTAGGCCAATAGTACCCCTGCCATAGTATTTTGTAGGCTAGGGACTACCCCCCTATGTGGTTTCCACATATCCCACTATGTACTTCCGAGAGCACCTTCTTTGCCTCTTCTTCGCCAAGGCACTTGAGCAGGGGCATCGAGTAGCCCCTCTGATAAAGAGTATCTTCATGCATTGTGTACCTCAATGGTTGATATCTCATCCTCTTTGCTAGCTATTTATCTTCCGGGAGCTCACCGTCGATGAAATATTTGATGATAGGGTCCATCCAGCTCGATTGGTGATTCAATGGCATGACTTCTGGCTTTCCCCCAGTGGTAGGGACCTTTAGAACTTCCACGGGCACAATCTTTAACAGTTCAGCATCCTTTGACGTGGCTAACCTGGCAA